CGGTATACAGTCATAAGATACCATTTCATTACTGTTACTGTTGATATTAGTCCAAATACAAAATGAGTTGATAAAGAAATCTCTGAATAAGTATGAAACCTCCAGGTCGTTCCGGTGACAAAACGAGCACTCTAATTTGCTCCTCACTGTCCGTCTAAATCCTTGCACAGTTCTATCGATGTGCTCTCATGAAAAGGTTCTTTCGATCATTGTCACATATTTGCATCTTTCACTCTCCTCTCAAATCCTACTCCTAGACACGCACTATCAGACTGATACACCTGATTGGAATGGTGGTTTAAGGAAAATTTATTTCCAATCTACTTGGAATTTCGACATGAACTCATTCACTTCTAGCAGCACATCACAAATCGTTTAACTTGGTGTGGACCTCTAAACCACATTCTATCCTTACAAAGAAGCTTGTGTCCCCCCCCCCCTGGTTTAGCCTTTCTTGTTAAAGGGCAACTGAGCTCAAACAAGGGACTTATAACAAATATATAACTGCTTTGAACCATGCTAAACATGATAGAAAAAGGGTAGAACGATACTTTATTTTAGTAGAAAACACAACCCCCGTCACTCATCTCACCAGAGGTAGAGATCTCTCTGGTCATTAGCCAAGTCCTTTCACAACTTATATAACTCAACTACTGTATATGCGGTCATATGTCTTGATCTCACAATTGCCATTATATTCCATCATATTACCTCCCCATACCAAACGATCCTTTACTTCACTTTCTCTTTTCTGCTACATTATTTATGATTAGCTCGCCAGTAAATACAATTATCGTCGTTCTTTCAACCCGTTTCAACACATGTCATTCCGTATCATTCCACACTTGCGCTGTGAGTTTCCATTAGCATTTTAGCTTAAGGTCCGCGTAGGTATTATTCCTAAAAAAAAAATCCATTGGTTTAATGTCATCATTCACGCCATTCCTTGCATTATTCTGCTATTATATCACTTCCCTTTCACAACTCAATCAGTCTACGACTTTCAACTGTCTCGGTGTAGGGCATATACCCACCTCTATCACACATCTACCAATATACAGTAATTTAATTTTCTTATCCATGGTATGCTAGGTAAACCTATCTTGAATATAGGTTACTTTGATGGTAGCACTGCTCACTGGAGGGCATATTGTTATGTACACTCCCAGAGGCGCAGCTCTGTATATGATTCTGTACACTTCCTCCCCTACATTAAACGGTTTAAAGACATGAGCGTTTATATCACCATATTTCCAATATTTATTTTTATTATTCCTGTGGCTTGTACTACTTAGGATGGATGTGGGGAGAACGCTAGGGAGGAGATAACGGAAGCTCATTTGGCTGTTTTACAGCAGAAGTTAGGTCTACTAGAGCAAGCGAAAGGTTTCCTCTCTCCCCAAACCGAGGCCCTGAAAACCGTCCTGTAAGTTACCTCTCATTATTTTTATCTCTTGTTGATATAAATGGAAACATTGGGAATTAACTTGCCTTTTAATTTGCATCAATGCTTTTGCCAATTTTAAGATATGTAGATGAAAACTTTAATTTTGAATACCCTTCTCTGCTTAATTTTATGAGAGGCGTTTTGTTCCTGTTCAGTACACAAATGCACCTTGTGGTAGATGACAAGGTGTATCATACTGCTTACCAGATTTTCCAAGGTAATAACCAACACATATCCTGATACAGTACTGGTGCTTATACTGTAGTACATTTTCTTAGTCATCTTCCAGTAATCCCCATATCATTTTCGAACCCAAACGTTTGCTTAATTAGCCATTTTGCATCTCACTCTGATAGTAGATTGTCTTATCTTGGCCCAGCTTCACTTCCTTGTCTGCAAACATATCCATCTTTACTATACCCCGACCAAATAAGACATTAGACGAATATAACATATGAAACATTTCATAGTGTGTTACTGACTTTGTATTCGACTTACTGATGTTAGGTGTCATATTGAATTTGGCAATCTTCGCACGTTCTACGGTACAAGCTTTTTTCATGTTACTGCCCAACATTACAGCCAGCAGCTTCATACAACTTACCAGCAGAATACATGGGCTAGCACTAGTTATCTACTGTATATCTATCTATCTATCTATATATATATATATATATATATATATATATATATATATATATATATATATATATATATACAGTACTGTATATACACACACTTGGATCACGCGCACCTACAGTACAGTGATTTACTTGCATATATATATATATATATATATATACTAATTCCCGCCTCTTGTTAAACAGATCACATTTATTAAACGTCACTATTATGAGATAATGTAGTATTAAAGCATGTATTTTGTTACAGACGTGCGGGTGCAGCTGACTTTGATAAACTTCAAGAAATAAACAAATACTTGGAAAAAAAGGAGGCTTCTCTTAAGATGTTTCAAATCCTGCGCGAGAAAAAAAATGTTTAAGTTACTTAACACTTATTAGGCGACTACAAGTATAGTACTTGAGAGTTCCATATACTGTACAGATCTAGAGAACTCAAAATGGATGAGGTTGTTCATTTACCTCTTTACTTAAAGGCCACCCAGTAGAGGTAGCCATGCTATTTTAACGCATCTACTCACTCTAAGTGATAAAATTTTACCTTTAGCTTGATTTTCTGTTATTTTGTATATAGAATGGTTTTGAATTATGAATGGGGTTACGACGCCTTGTGTTCGCGGACTTCTAGTGATATTTGAGTGGATTTTTATTATTTTCTCTTTTTTTGTGTCACAAGACGATGAATTCTTAGTTACAGTTAAGGATACAATTATATTCATTATAATCTTTGAATTTATTCTATTATTTTTTTTCTGTTTGCTTTTGACGTCACAGGACTATAATATCGATGTTGCAGTTAAGGATAAAATTATGTTCGTATTAATTTTGGGATCATATGAAGATCTTCCCCCCCCCCAAAGTATCCAACTGAAGATCCTCCCCCCAGTCGCGCTCATATGAAGATCCACCCCCCCCCCAGTCGCGCTCATATGAAGATCCCCCCAACATATAATATAAATAAACAACATAAGGATTAAATAATAAAACATTATTCAGATTACTTTCTTGTTACACTAAATATTGGTGTAGGTTAGGTTAGGTTAGGTGGTCATAGTGACGTCAGGTAAGGTCAGGTTTGGTCATTGGTCAGGTCAGATCCTCCCATCCAGGCTTGATCATATGAAGATCCTCCCCCCCAAGTAGGTTTGGGGGGGAGGATCTTCATATGATCCTAATTTTGTTTGAAAATGTGAATACAAATTTAATGACTTATTTTTGTTTACTTTATGAGCCACTTTTTTAACATACATCTGAATTCTAATAGGATATATTCAAGGGGCCGGAGTGAACGTAATCGCTGTAAAAAAAATTTTTCGAAGGGGATGAGCGAGGCATTTTCAGTTATATCTAATCCACATCAATAGTCTTGAAATTATTAAGTACTCAGGTAGCGTCGTGGTGCTTACCTTTACTTTTCTTTTATTTCCTTCGCCACTGATTGATTCGTTAATCCTGGATGCCGAATCTTCAAGTGGGTACTTTGGAGTGCTCCGCCTTTATGAAATCCAATTTTACTTGTACTGTACATACAAGTCACAACTGCGGAGTGTCAGTAGTGCCATGAATTTGAAGGTGTCCATTCTTGGAGGACTTATGTCTCCAAATCCAGTCGATTTTTTATATTAGTTTTTATGTGGATAATGCGTTTTAGTCTTGTATTATTTATATGAAATAAAGGAATTTCATGTTTCATTACTTATGGAAATATGGGTATTATTTAGACAAGGGGTTCGAGGATGCGGGACATTCAGTTTAGAGAAAGGACTCAATCACACATACAGGAGGAACTGACGAACTGGATAGGCCAGTGGTTCTCAAACTCGGGGTAAAAACTACTTTTTGGCTGGGGTAATATGCTTCTGTTGGCACGGTGGGGTAACCTCGTATTTAACACTCATCGCACGCCTAGTTTATCTGTCGGACATCTTTCGAGAGATGAATGTGTTGAATTGCTCTCTACAAGGAAAAAATGCTTCCATCATCGATGTCCAAGATAAGATGAATGCCTTCTGTCAACAAATGAAACTATGGCACAGGCGATTCAACGTCGCTAGACCATTTTTTTCAAAGTAGCGAGGTTCAGTGCCAAGCGACTGAAATTGGGGAGCATCTGCTCACACTCAAGACGTCAATGACAAAATATTTTCCTGAAAGCAAGGCTCTGGAGACGAACACCGCATGGATGAAGCAACCATTTCATGTCGCCGAAGATATCATTTCTGACAACGACCCTGCAAAAGACGAATTTCTGAAGTTGAGAAATGATTCCGTGACCCGTAGCACATTCGATACTGTCGAGGATATTGCATCTTTCTGGCTTAAGCAAGGAGCAGAGGGATACCCAACTCTAATGACTCGGGCTATCGACGTACTTCTTCATTTCCCACGACCTATATGTCCAAACTTGGGTTCTCGGCAATGTACCACATCAAGTCCAAGACTAGAAACCGGCTCGTTCCAAGCTCAGATATGAGGCTGGCTCTGTCAAAAACTAAACCACGCATCCAAAATCTGGTGTCGACAAAACAAATTCATCCATCTCACAAAGACTAAGTCTATAACAGCACTGTAACTGTAGCACTATTATTGATTTTTGTATAAGACAGACTAAGTAATCAGAGACGTGACCGATCGCCCTAGCGGCTAACAAGCCGATCAGTGGCGAAGAGGATAAAAGTAAAAAAAAAAAAAAGTAGAATTGTACACGTGTGTTTTGTATAATAAACTTTATTGAATAAAAAGTAAGGAGTAAAATTTGTACATTAATTTTGTTGTGTTTTGTATAATAAACTTTATTGAATAAAAAGTAAGGAGTAAAATTTTACGTTGGGGTAATTCGAACCTGTCAGACTTTAAATAGGGATAAAACTGGAAAAATTTTTCAGAACCACTGGTATAGGCTGTAGTCTGTAGCCTATAAGATTAGTATTCCGCTAGACCTGGGAGGTGGTGGGTGAGTCGGGTCCCACGTCAGCTGAGTGAGTGTAAACATTTAACTGTTGTGGTGGAGCTGCCTCCCACCTGCTGCCTCATCACCATGATTAAGGCAATACTTGTCTTCAATAATCATGGTAAACCAAGATTAACAAAATTTTACCAGTATTTTGTAAGTACTGCATCTGTTGAATACATATATTGTATTTAAGTAGAAAAAGAAGACATGTAAGTATTTGAGTGACAGTCATGACTTAGTTGAATATATTTTGAATTGTATGTTATTCAGGAGGGTGTCAGCTCTGTCTTCACCATTATTGATTGTGTGGCATAAATATGTTTGCTGGATTTTAACGTAGAAATCTGGCTTGACAGTTTTGCGTTTACCTTCTGTCTAATCATACCCCTCATATTTTGCAGTAGTGGCACGGATATTTTTCGTTATCCATCCATCACCTTTTTTCACATAAAAAATATATTTTTTCGCTAGTTTTCTTGCTGTTTTAGATGATTTTGACATTTATCTTTGGTGCAAATCCCTTTTTTTGTGTGTGTGTGTGGGGTAAGGTTGGTTGGTTCCTATGGTATGAGAATAAGTTATTTTGGGTGTGTTTTACTCAAATCTGACCTAAATTTTTGTGCAAATTAGCAGTTTCTGTTAAAATGAAGGTCAGATTTGAGTAATACACCAAAAAGAACCCATTCACATACCAAAGGAATGAACCGATCAACCAACCTAACCTAACTAAAAAAAAAATTGATTTGTCCCAAAGGTAAATGTCAGAGTTATATAAAACAGCTAGAAAACTAGCAAAAACATTTATTTTTCATGTGGGCAAAGGTGATGGGTGGATAATGAAAAATAACCGTGGCACGAATGTGTAGATCAGGTTTTTTATTTTCGAAAATATGTGGACAAGAGAAAAGATTAGGTATACAGTATATGGTAAGCTTTAACTGTAATAATTTGGGTAATGTTTTACTTTTTTCTTAATGGAAGTAGTAATTTGGAGAGTTTTGCTCACACAAAAAGTTGTTCCCTACCTCAAGAATAATCCATAGTCAGTATATATCTCCATGCCAGGAATTGCACTTTACTTCCCTTTAAAATGAACAGACCACACTCAACCTAACTTAACTAAAGAGTTTTCCAAGATCATTAGGTTAGGTCAGATACTGTTAGTTAGATTTTTTGGTTTATGCCTTCTATAATAAATGACTTACTGTTGGAGTCTGACAACCACCATTTGATTACAACCAGCTTGTATAGAACTGAACAGTTTCTTTTTGTATTATATGTTTAGACAATACTATGGGTAATGCTGGAGGAGAATATTGCTCATTAACCAGGAACTTGAGGACATTTTTCCATAGATGCTTAATGTAATGAAAATTCCATAATGTGTGTGGAGGAATTGCATTTTGGGTAATATTATTTGGTAATGTTGGAGGAAAGCAGGCCAAGTTTACCAGCTATATAAGGGAAAATATCTATGTACATATTGAAGATGGTGTGGGTGAGGTCAAGGTAAAGGTGTGAAGACCGCTTGTACCAGGACTTTACGGAATTGCACCAAATTTTCAGTTATGGAGTAAAAATTGAGGTGACAATGTTGTAGTTTTTTTCTTGTTAGCTTATCCTTCAATCATAAATTACTTGCTAGTGGGCAGGGCATGACAGAAGAGGGAAATAATGGGGTAAAAACACTGTGAACACTGATCATATGGCAGTAATTTCACGTCTACGTTCTTTATAGGCGAAGAAATAAAATATTTACCGTAATTATAGAGCCGTCAGATTTCCCGCAGCGACCATGTTTTGGCTCTCATCGTTTGCTCGCTATGCGGGAGCGTTCCCAGTCTTTATTTACATGTTAAGAAATCAACAGCGATTTCATTGGGAGTGTTTATTACAATTTATATTGGATTGAAATTGTAAATTTTTTGTGGAGATGTTGTTTGGATTATAGTAAAAAACAAGAAAAATGAAATGACAGTGCACAGGTTAGGAAATTAGGTGAGGTTAGGTAAGGTTCTAATAGGTTCTGTGAATTCTCGCCTCCAGTTTCATGCTCAATATCATGCCAATAGTATCTCCAGAAAATTTGGTTCATAAGTTATTTCTGGTTTTAGTGGTCACCTTTACCGAGGTCAATTTATAGTAGAGAACATAATTAGATATAGGGTATTTTTTTGTGTTTCATGATAATTTCAGACAAAAACAAGATGATTTTCTTCTATGACACATGGCACATTTTAACCATACAATACTATGAATGGGACAGACAGCCTAGAAGCAAAGGAGCCTGTACTGCGATTAACAGTTTGAAGAATGGAGAGGTTGTTGGTTAATCTTTGGATTATCTCTGGCTGCCTTAGTTTGGAGTTACCTGGGTCAGTCCCACTTGGCCTTGGTGGCACTTACACATAAAAAAAATTATTATGGCTCAGTTTTAAATGAGTTTTCAGGATCAAACCTCCATTTCTAGGAAGTACAGATTAGTGGTTACACAGTAATACATCATTCTAGATTTTTTATTATTGTTATAATTACTTGTAGGGGGCATTATAATTATTTATTTTAATAGTTTACCCCTTATCAGCTCACTTGCCATTTGGGCAGTTGATATGACTATTGTTGTTCAATGTTAGTCCAGGAGGAAACCAGAGTACCTTACGAAAACCTGCGATGTTTGATGGATCACACTCGATGACGCCCTCCCCACAACTGTCCTGGGGTGGGGATTGAACCTGGGACACAGTCCAGGGTTGTACTGTACAGTGGTATGAAATATGCATGTTACCACTGTACCACCAACACCTAAAGATATACTGTACTGTATAGTCACCTCCAAAAGAAAGCACAAAGTAAAACATATGCAACTACATGTGAGCATTTTTGTCTCCAGGCAACTATTCTCGTGCCTTAATATCATACCAGCTACTACTACGACTACTGTACTGTATACAGTACAGTGTATCGGGACTGGTAATTCCCTAGTGGTTCATTGTGAATAGAACATGATGTGGCAGTAAAGAGAGGTTTATTGTGATGTGCAAGTCATAAGATATTGTAGACTTACCGGTACTTGACACTACCCACTGTTCCATTTTATGCTGTTTCACACAACACAGAAACTACAATGATGGCATAGGACATTGGTACACTGAGGAGACTTCTTTTGATTATTTACCTATCTATTTTATACTGTGTCTTTAATATGAACAAGAAAATCTGTATTGCTTGACTAGAGTACAATAGTTGTGGATAAATTCTGTTTTAGTCAGGGATAGTATCAGAATTTTACTGACATTGTTGTACTTCAGCATAATGTATTGTACAACTTGTCGAAATGGTTGTGAACTCCATATAGGGTACAGAAGGAGGGAGATTAATTTCAGTCAATGAAGTACTTAGTTCTTGACATCTCTTTTTCAGGTTTCAGTCTCCGGTGCTAAGGTCTCTGTCTTGGTCTCAGATTTCTGCTTGAAACCTTTGAAGCTACAATTTTGTTTATTGAATTTAAAGTCTGTTGGGAGGGAGTAGTCAACTGATTAAATTTGGGTTCAGGTAAGGGGAGTATCTTCGCATCAGGTCACTACCTGTGGTTGGAAAACTTGACCTATATTGGTACAATGTAAGTACTGTAGTGATTTCCTGGGTCACAGTCAGTTTTTTTTGACAAAGTAACCCAGGTCAACCCAGGTATCCAAATCCACACTCTGGTAACAACACATACACCACAGCTGGCTGCCTCGAGGCTCCTGCTCTGCGGCTCACACTAGTCAGTGACATCACAACCAATCACAGAGCTTTTCGCAGAGCTACTTTAACCCTTATTTTTTACACTTTTTGGCCAATTTATTTTAAAATATCATTACCATTGTGAATTTAAGCATTTTCTTTACCCATTTACGAAAAAATTCCAACCTACAACTTGTCCATTGTTTTTGTGTACAGGGGGTCCCCGACTTATGAATGTCCGACTTACGAACGCCTGCCAATACGAATGGAGTTAAACTTGAAATTTACCGTATTTTATTTACCTGATGACTTATTTTTTACTTTCATTTACTGTACTGTATTTTGTCATTCTTTTCTACTTTTGTCTTAAATTATGTGATTTTAGATGTATAGAAGGACTTAGGCTATGACATAGTGGGATTTTAAACATTGTTCTCTAAGTACAGTATGCATATAGCATGTGTTCCGACTTACTTACAAATCCGACTTAAGAACGTCCTCAGGTTCGTAACCCGGGGACCCTCTGTACTGTACTTATCTTTCTTTCCTGTCCTTCTATTTTTTAATTAATATAAAACTATTATCGTGCAGGTATGGTAATTGTATACACAGTATGTTATGTTTATTACATGCATTCAACGATTACTTATGGAGGGATCACTTCCAGTTTACGAATATATACTGTAATTCAGCTTACGGCTAGCCCCCAGGAACAGAACCCATCTGTAACGCAAGGAGTGTCTGTACTCATATTTAGGTCATGATTAAAAAAATAATGAAAATAATTTGTAGTTTGTACACACACACACAAAGTGGTACTTATTCTAGTTGGTAAATATTTCCAGGTTTAAAGATAATACTGACCCTCAGTCATCCAAGGATTTGAACCCTTCTAAGATATTGGATCACCAGAAGAATAGACATCCCAGCTTATTTCATCTGATGATTAAACACCCTAGCACTGATATAACCTATTCTAATCTGACTAAACCTAATACAGTATAGCCAATCCCTTCAGGTAGTGTTAAGGTGTTTAATCATCAGGTATACCAGTAATAAGCCAGGGAGTCTGATTATCAGGTGATCCAAATGATTATAAATTAGTACCCCGATTTTCGCGGTCAATTGAACCCACAGGGTACCGCGAAAAGTGAAAACCGCGTAAAGTGAACAACAGAACATATGGGATTAATTCCAATAGAGACTGGCCCGACCCCCAAACTCCACTTTTTGAGACACAATACCTACGTTGTAGTAAAAATTACATCTTAATTTTATGATAGTATGTACACACAATTAATAATTAAGAGAAATATCAATAATATTAGGGTTTTTAACACTTACATTAGTAGAAAAGATGGCTGGGCACACGGGGATGGGGGGTTTGTTCCGAGGCAGAGGGCAGATTATTGGCCCTCACCTGTATCACTTGTATCAATTGTATCACTATCCACCACATAGGCTTGCAGGGCCTCTTTGTCAAACCCCTCAAAGTCCATATAAGTCCATATTCTCACTATCACTGACTTGGGCCGGCTGTGGTGGGTGAAGAACTCGGTAATGTTTTGATGACTGGGCGACCTTGTGCGCATCCTGCCCGCGCCGCTTCCCATGTGTATGAGTAGATGCACCGTGTAAAGTGAAAGTCCGGTTCTGGCGAGGTACCGCGTAAATGCGAAATCGCGGAAAGTGAAACCGCGTAAAGCGGGGTATTACTGTACTATACAGTACAGTACTTGTGTGATCCAAGGTGCTATTTTGTACTAAAAATTTATCCTGAAAACTCAGCTTATACTCAAGGATATAAACAAATGCAAAACATATGATTGATCTCAGTCTCAACTTGTAAGGGTTTCGGTCTTGGACTTATTGGTCTCGACTACATCATTGATTTCAATGTATTTTAATTGTATTTGAGAGTTTGAATACAACTTTCTAATATATCTATTTGCTCTCATGTGTTTAGACTTTTAGGGAATTTCTTCAATGTTTTGACCATAATAGATGGTGCAAAAAGCTGAATAAACTGTCAGATTTGCTGTGTTGGGTTGTAGTGAAATCCCTGCTTTCAAACTCAGTGTGTGATACAGGTGATCATTAGACAGGTATGACTTCATGAACTTCTACCTGCAGAATGTCTATTTGCATATATTGTAGAAAAGTAATTCTTGTACCTTGCATGAATTTATTATACATGGAGAGTATCAATACATTACATTTTATTTGTTCAAGTCATCTTAAACCTTTTACAGTCAGCATAGAAGGAAAACTTTAATTTCTAGTACAGTACAGTACGAGAATGCTCCTGAAGAGTTACCAGGTATTCAAGTAAAATGATGTAAATACTACAGTACTATATTGATCCAGTACTTAATTTTTGTCCACCCTTGGTACTTACAGTATTTTATTTATACAGTATTACCCCGCTTTACGTGGTTTCACTTTCCGCGATTTCTCATTTACGCGGTGCCTCGCCAGAACCGAACTTTCACTTTCCGCGGTGCATCTACTCATATACGCGGGAAGCGGCGCGGACAGGATGCGCACAAGGTCGCCCTGTCATCAAAACATTACCGAGTTCTTCACCCGCCACCCACCACAGCCGGCCTAAGTCAGTGATAGTGATAGTGATAGCGAGGATATGGACTTATATGGACTTTGAGGGGTTTGACAAAGAGGCCTTGCAAGCCTCTGTGGTGGATAGTGATACAATTGATACAAGTGATACAGGTGAGGGCCAATAATCTGCCCTCTGTCTCGGAACCAACCCCCCCATCCCCGTGTGCCCAGCCATCTTTTCTACTAATGTAAGTGTTAAAAAAACTAATATTATTGATATTTCTCTTAATTATTAATTGTGAGTGCATACCATCATAAAATTAAGATGTAATTTTTACTACAACGTAGGTATTGTGTCTCAAAAAGTGGAGTTTGGGGGTCGGGCCAGTCTCTATTGGAATTAATCCCATATGTTCTGTTGTTCACTTTACGCGGTTTTCACTTTTCGCGGTACCCTGTGGGTTCAATTGACCGTGTAAATCGGGGTACTACTGTATATTGTATTGAACTATACCAATTCATACCCCCCTTCTTTTCTTCTCTTTTAGAATGAAGAAATGCAGCAGCAGATAATTAAAGAAACATTCCAGCTGGTATCCAAGAGAGATGACAATGTTTGCAATTTTCTGGAGGGTGGCAGGTAACACTAGATGTATTGTTTCCTACAGTTTTGGTAAGATGGGCTTTATAGGCTCTTTATTCAGATTTTTAGTTTCGCCCATCTGGCACACAAAAACTTGTATTTTCCTCTCCTCATGCCCTTAATATTTTTGTACTGCTGTTCTCATACCTAACACTGATGTGCTTGCTGTACCCACCTACTGCAGCAAGTGACAAACATGGTACTGTACTGTACATGTACTGCACTGTATTAGTTTACCCAGGAAATACAGGATTCAAAATAGTAAGGTTATACAGTACTGGTACTGTAATATATTGTATGGTAATAAGTATTTTCATATGCAATTACAGTGTTTTAGGTTGAATTTGTTTTCAGGATGTACTGTACAGTAGGTATATCATCCATATTTTACATCATTTGTGGTCAACCTTTAATTTGTCCATCTTAATGCACAATGGTGTATCTTATCTGATTGTATACATGATTGCCTTGTTATCATGGAGCTGACTGTTAACTGTTATGACACTCATGGCTCTGTGACAAGTGAACAGATTGTTATGGTTGTTTCACCCTCAAGGCACTTGTCATCTTACATCTTCTATTTTGTTCCTATACAGCTGGATGGTTGGTTGAGTAACTGGGAGGTGATGCCTCTAGTAAGCTGTGGTATTTTACTACAGTACAAAATCTTAGCTAATCATTCAAACCACAGTGCCTACGCTTAATAGGTTTGCTCCATGCCTATTATTCTTGGATATTGTGCCCACAGAGGGTTAATGGGGGATTTTTCACTTTATGACTATTCTTATTGGCTCCTATTGGATATGATACTCTTACCGTGAATGAGATTGTTTATTTGCATAATTAAATGGTATTATTTGGCATGTTGCTCTTAAAAGAGATTCCAATATAGAACTGGAGGCAAGTATTGCATCTACTCAGCTGCCACATGTCTCACATTTCTCTTTCAGTAAGACATAAGAAAGTGATTTACTTATTTAAGATGAACTGGTAGGGCAGGAAGTTTAGTGTGTCAGGTTGTGATTTCTGTCCCCACACTTTGGATAAAACACAGAAATTATAATAATTTCATTTTAGCTTGGTGTTGTGGTATTTGTGCGTTTTGTTCGTGGTTCATGTATGGTATGCTCCTTGGGGCCACACAGCAACCATACTGAATAGTGTACAGTACAATATAAGTAAATTCAGACCGTAGTACAATATAAAGGGTAACAATTATTTAATAGAGTGTAAGTGAAACTAGCAAAAAAACATGTAAATTAATGGTCAATTGTATTCCAAATTCTCAAGTTTGTACAGTACTGTACTGTATTTCCTCTATTGTTCAGCATTTTGGGAAAATTCTCCATGTTAGTTAATTGTTGTACAATATTGTACATACGGTATTTTATTTTGGCAAATTCTTTTAAATTTATTTTCTTTCAGTTTGATTGGAGGAGCAGACTACAAATTGATTTACCGTCACTATGCTACGTTATACTTTGTCTTCTGTGTTGATTCTTCAGAAAGTGAGCTGGGAATCCTAGATCTGATTCAAGTTTTTGTTGAAACTCTCGATAAATGTTTTGAAAATGTTTGTGAACTCGACCTCATATTTCATGTTGATAAGGTTTGTACTTCGAATGCTTGCATAAGGTTGTGTGCTTATACCATTAAGAGATTTAAGAAATCTGGTGGCTATGTTTGACAGCATTGGAGCTTATGAATGAATACAATTTTAACCATTTTGCATTAATGGCAACCAGTAAGCTTTTAAATAACATGTTTAAAATTGAGAGCCAGTGGAAACTTATTAATTTATGCCTCACTTATTCAATCTTTTGGGTAACAATTGTGATATTCCAACCAATCTCTTGATACTATGAACTTATTTTAATTAGGTCATACTGCTTGAAAGTTCTTGCACAGTAACAGAGTGTGCCTTTTCCACCAACATATATGGAGCCTGGCATGTGGGTAATCAGTTTCAGCCCAACCTTTGTATAGGAATGTGGTGTGTGTGAAATCTTATTTTTATTTTTGTCATTTTAATAACTCTGCACTGAAATATGGCTCATTTGCAGATAGGTTCACGATAGGAGGAAGGTTGCAAGGCTCTGGGGAGTGTGCTTCCCCCTCCTTTCATTTGAACATTCCCACCTCCTGCCCTACCTACCTACCCTCACTGACCATCTCCTACCCTGTGCACCCACTGCTCTGCAGACCTTCTAGCCTACCCTGCTACCACCCCTTACCACACACCTGCCCTGCCCACTACTCCTCACTACCCATCTCACGCCCTGCCAAGTTGGTTCCTCATGTCCATCAAAGTAATTTTTAAAGTTACTTTGCTTCAAGAAAAATACCTTGGAATTTTCAGATATTTTTTAATAGTGAGACGGTTCCTCCTTGTAACTGTTAATCTGATAATGGTAGATAAATTAAGTGTAAGAATTTGAATGAGTATGGAAATTTGCTAGTAAGAATGTGTGAACGAAGAATGGATCAGGATTTTGGCAAGAGGAAGAATGAAAATTTCCCAGAAAATGATAAACTGTTCTAGAAGAATGTAAAAAAAAAACAATAAATAAATAAATAAATAAATTTTGGAAAGAAGAAGGATGTGCATGGAAAAGTTTTGTACATAAAAAAGTGCTAATGATAAATAAGGAAATTGGAGAAAGATGGAGAGAGTTTTTTAAGGTTAGAAATGGAGATAGAAGAAATGAAAAATAGGTAAAGATACATTGTGTGTTAGAGATGGGCAAGAATTGATGAAATAACAAAAGAGGAAATAATTAGTGGCACATTAGAGACAAAATGAGAGAGGTGGTTGGTAAATAATGTGAGTAAAAAGGCTTAAAAAAAGAGATTGATTTGGAAGATTTTATTACAGCATGGTTCAAGATATGAGAGTGAGGGGAAAAGTAAGAAAGATAAAGAAACAAGACTGGGGGATTAGTGAGGTGTAGAGATGTCACGTTAGGCATCGCTTGATGATTAATTTGAATCTTCTTGGCAGAGTCGTTTTGTATTTGAAACTGTTAAATGTGAAGAAGCCTCACAACTCAGCTTAGTATGCATAGTAAATTGGTATGGAATGTTTTAATCGGTGTGGAGGCTAATAATCTACTGCATATATTTCATTTCAAGTTGGGGAATATGGAGAAGTATGGGAAGTGTTTTTGTAATGTTATTTCAAATCTTTCCTGATATAATTCTAAACTTTTCCTGCACTTATCCCCTTTACCATTCCTTCTCTCTTTGAGGCTTCAATTTCCTCAATTCTTCCCACACATGCCTGGAAGAGGAGAAAGTAGATACTGTAATCAAATCAAGTCTCATGAGGTTGCTGGATACTCAACCTTGATTCCAGATTGTTCTCCTCATATGATTTGGCAATTCTTTGTATATTTTTTTCTACCATATATTGTTTCCAATTTTAATATGACCAAATTCTTACACCTATTACAGATATTTAATGAGTTGCTTGTCAAGTTAAGCCCAAACTATTCTATTGTGTGTATTCTAAGGATCTAAGACTGACAGTTAAGTTTCATTCATTGGTATGTTTTTCTAATTTGAACTTTGTCATTTCCAGGTTCATTACATCCTGAATGAGCTGGTGATGGGGGGGATGGTACTGGAGACTAATATGACTGAAATTATCACAAGAATAGAAGACCAAAACAAATTGGAAAAACAAGAGGTAAAACTTATTTTGTATTCCTTAACAAATATTATTATCTAACCCAATAACTGCGCCATTTGGGAAATCAAAGGAATTGGTAGTGCAGCAGTGGGTTGTTATGGTGCGTAATGGGTGATAAGCTTCTATGCAGGTGGTAAGCCAGGCTGTGACATAGGTGTGGGTGAGGGGCCACTGAGGGCAGGGGGAGGGTGATCGTGTAAATAATTCCAGATCATTCCAAGATGATGATAGCAAGTTGATTTGAGGCTCCACCAGCCTTGTGTCTCACTATAGTGTGTCTACCAGTTATCGACTTTCCAATCTGGGTATGATTTTTGATGCACAGCTTTAAATTCATGGTGCCAAATGCTAAGTGTCTTAAGACAATGGTGGCACAATTTCAGTACATTATCCTGAGGGTAATGTCAACTACATTGTAGTGAAGAGCCTTTCAGCTGGATTCTTTTAACAGTCTGCTAAATGTTTACAACTCCTGACTTGTGGTTCTGGAAGACATCAGATTATTCCTTTTTTTTTTTTTTTTATCTTTTAGAGACTTGTACTGTACTTCCTTCCTAGTTTGGGTGCCCTTGAGATGACCACATGATATATTACTTCCTATGGTTCCTAATCTGGTTTAGGTCACTACTGATGCTGATTAGGTCACAAAGTAGAGGGTGGGGAGGGATCTAGTTTCTTGTTTGGTTTCTCAGTTATCTGAAGTTCCTTTATAGATTTGTAAGTCTGTAAGTTGAGGTGGGGAGTTTCTTAAGTACTGTGGAATTATTGTCTGTCATGCCAATCCTGTACAGCTTTGCCATTAGATTAAGAGTTTTGCATCTTGGCTCAAGAGGTGCTGGGTAATTGGATTGACATTGGTCACCCCTGAATCCCACACAACACTGGAGAACTGTGTGAGGCTAAGGGAGTACACAAGGTTGGTCATGATTTATAATAGATCACCTAGCTCTTACTTTGGTTGAGTTAACTCCATTAGGTATTCATTACTGCATCACAACTTGGAGCTTTTATTAGATGACTTGGATCCCTTAGTGTGTTGCTGTGGCTCTTCATCCTCTGACTTTTAGTTGTAGTTGTTGCTTCTGATATAAATTTTTTAAGTATTTTGGTTTAAAAGGCAAAATATTAATGATTACTGGATTAGTACCAGCTTACATTGTTTATGCATTCCTGGGTTTTGCTTCTATAGACATGTTAGATGTTACATGAGTTGACTGATCCAAATTTGATCATAAAAAGGATTTCAAATTCAGTCCCCATATGTTGCCAAGGAACAAAGAAATGACCCATATTCTCTCCTTCCCTAGATTGGTAGAGAACTAAGAGTTTCATTTGAAGCTGTGTTTGGTCAAATTGGGATGATTCAGAGTCGGTGATTCTAAAGAGAGTGAATTGTGTCAAACCTTAACCTCAAGTTGACATGTAAATCCAAATTCAGTAGTTGTTTCAATTAGATGATAAAAGGGTGCAGTTGTTTCACCTTAAGCAAACATTTCATGAATAGATAGTAGACCTACCATGGAGGATTATATGCTTCCCGAGCAGTGACTGGCTCTGTTCTCTGGTGCCTTGTGGTGGTCACATGCCTCAATCCCCAGTTCATGATACTTTGTGTTATATTACTCTCTTATATATACATATTTTTATGATTTAATTCATTGCTGTCATATAAATTTTTCTTCTTATGATGATAAGCTTAGTTTTTACTGTACATTTATAAGCCCTCTCACATTGACCTACTGTGTATAGGTGCTCCTTTCATTTTTACCATAACTGCCCTCTCATTGCACTTTCATTTTATTTTCCTTCTCTGATTTAAATAAACTTGTAAATTTTATCCATATCCATATTTTCAATACACCCTTAACACCTCTACACTGACTTTTTTAATGTTCTTTCAATGTTCTAGATCTATTTTATGATTGATCTACTTAATGTATTCTTTTATCTTTACTCATATCTTCATCCAAAGATTAATATGAGTGTATGATAGTATTGCTACACCCATTAAAACAATAACACCTCTTACTTCATGTTTTCTTTAATTCTTCTCTGCCAAGGCAATGTACAGTACCTATGGTAATTCTAACAAAATCTAAAATATTTTTTCTTAAATTATTTAAAAATTTGTATATTTTTTTAATGAAATTGTCTGGTGTTAGTAAGAGTGAAATATAAATTAAGGGAATCACATTAAAAAGATTGTCTATTTTGTTCATCATTAAAGGGTGTGAAGAAAGTGTCAGGATGTCTGCAATTGAAATAGGAACTAAATCAAAGGAGCTTTACTATACCGTAAATACTCTTCAATATCATTGTATTGTGTGTCATAATGACCCGAGATGTAATGTGAATTGTTTGACTTGAAACTCAGAAATGGATTTTACACACATACCATTGCACACAATATTTCATATAAAGGCTGCAAGATGATAGTCACAATTGATAACCACTCAGCTACCAGCTTGTCAAAGGTCACAGTTGGCCTGTGAAAACTTTATCTTATACACAAGACAATGACTACTCTGACACACTTTTAGGTAGAATATGACCCCCAGTCATTTGAGCAATATTGAAACTTTTTAATCAAGTCTCTCAGTTCACAGTTCAGTGTACAGAAAGATATAGTGTGCCTACAAAGCAGCTCCCATGTTATAATCATTATCATGATGATTACTATCACTGTTTTATGGTCATTTTCCATACTTCTTCCTGTCACTTTTTATTCTTGCACCACCTCCAGCACTGATCATGTCTCCTGGGTAGCTGAACTTATTGACACAGTCCTGGGAATATTCTCAATGTTGAGTTTCTGCAGCCTTGCTAAAGCATATTGCACACTTAATGTCAGCAATATCCTGCAGTTTGTCATTTACACCACTGAACCTCTTGTGTACTCACCTTCCAGACTCGCTGTACATTATTGAGTTGCTGCCAACAGCCTTCTTACAGACAGCACATGGCCATATTCCACTCCACCATGGGTCCCTTACCTATGCCACTAATCAATACTTTTGTTTTTGACACTTTGACATCCTGATTAGAGTCATTGGTTGACAGTCATATTCTACACTTTCCATGATTACCTGATGGCAGCTCTCCATGTTGCGCAATCTCCTGTAGCCAAGCTTTTCAGATTCTTAACTCTGAAGTTATTTCTTACAACTTCTCCTCTTGTCATTCTTGACCTATGCCAAGCTCCTCACCCCTCCACATTCTATGTCATGCACCTTTTGATCCTATTGGTCCCCTCCATATTCTCCACAGGCTCAAACCATCTCAGCCTCCCTCTACACAAAACCTTACCACTATTCTTAATATCTTAATATCTGGTTGCCCTATTAGCTCTGAATAGGGTTTCATAGGCCATTAGTTTAGTTCTATCATGGGACTTTATTCTTATTTTAAAAATTTTAGCAGATTTTTTATTTTTCCATCATCCACAACTAGTGAAGCATGTGGCTGTTATTGTATGCCTGTTTTAGTTCTTCTGGTTACTCCTTTTTTATTGTGTATATGATGGCTTATTTGTTTAAATAGTTTACTTTATATTTCTTAGATGTTGTGCATTGTGTTTGGCTGTGCAGTATTTTTATTTAATTAATATTAGCCTATTTAGTAATGGCTCACTACCAAGGTATGTTTTCAGAGAAATAATACATTCTTTTGACTGATTTAATCTACAGGGCCCTTATAATTCTGCATCTCCCTCATCACTTAGAGTAAGTGTATTCTGTAGTCAAAAGTAGAATGAATATACTGTATGTTGTGCCTTGGTTTGTCATTGGCATTAATTTTCAGGAATGTGCTTTGGCTTTTACCTGTAGTGAGATAATATATTTTGTAAATCCATTTATACAATTTTGTATGACATGTGGAGAGTGTATCTTAAGTTATTTAGCATTATGGTATATTGTATGGGCAGATTTGAAGTGATTAAGCAGAGCTTCATACATCTTCATGCATTTGCTTCAAATTATCAGTTGTTGTAAATATGTTTATTGTTTTCTAATATTGTGATTGAAATCAACCATTGGTGTGATGCTTCTTTCAGGTGCCATCTTCACAAAAGCTGTTAATACAACTCAAGGAACTCACTTAATGAGCTGCAAGCAGGGCTTCTGTATTTTGTGGTAGCCTGTTGTTCTTTTGTGTTTTTTATATTGACTAACCCTAAATGTGTGTAAATTTTTGGAGGACCAATGCTTAATTTGCAACCACTAACAAAAGTGACAAGAAGGAATCACAGGGCAACATCTTTTATTAACTGCATCCACATTAGAAATGGCTTTACGTACATTGTTTAATGCCAAGCCCAACTCCAGAGAAGGGAATTAAACTGAGAAACTCTGTAATGTCTCTTCCTTAGGGTTTGGAGTTTGTGTTTTTTTAATTTTGGGTACTTTTCTGTCATTATTATGTTACCATTAGGTAAAGATTCCGTTCCATACAAAACAATAATATTGTAGTATCCTATGAATGACCCAAATGTACTAAGTAAAGGTTTTATAGACAGGGAAAGGGCTTTGGGATCAGAAGTACATCTAGTGAATGCCATATAAAGTGAAAACTAAGAAAATTCAACTTGAACATGTGAAAATATTGTACTGTAGTGTTCATGGCGACCATTTTTTTTAGTGATAACCATTGAAGGAGTCTTACTATACGTGACAAATTGATCTATGGACCAACATTATTGAGTAGGCATGATAATTTATTATTTGCTCAAATGAAACACAAATCAGAAAGTAAATACTGTATAGTTAATATTAATTTAATACTGTATGTAAATTGAAATCGATCCAAATTAAATTCAGGTTACCCAAATGTTGGTGGCACAGCGATAATGTGCTTATCTCTCACTACTATGTCATGGATTCAAAGCCTAGCCCAGGGCACATGTGAGAAGGGTGTTATCCAGTGAGACCCTCCCACTTATCACAGGCTTTCTCCTGTACTAACACTGGATAGTAAAGTTCATAATAAAGAACAGATCAACTGCTTGAATGGCTAGTAAACTGATACAGTGGTCCCTCGGTTAACGAGCGCCTCGGTTAACGAGATTTCGGTTAACGAGTTACCTTCCATAAGATTCTTAACTTCGGTTAACGAGCAATCCCTTGATTAACGAGTTTCTTACGAGCCGACCTGAACATGTTTTCGCTTGCATTTGGCGGTCCACCAGCTGTAGTATTAGTCCACCAATACAGTAATCGGTTCTAGGGCTTAAATTCCTTACCATTTTAGCAAATATCAAGAAGTTTATACTATTCAATAATTTTAAAAGTTTAATATTTAATTTTTTAGTCATTTTAACAATTATTGAACATAATTGAAGGTAATGAAACTAGTTTTATGCGCGCCATCCAGCCTCTCAACACACCATACAGGCGTCAGTCTTTGTGTCTTTTCAGTGGAGGTAACATCTTGCTTGAGACTCTTCAACTAAATGCTTTTTTTCTGTGTTTGCAAGCAAATTATTGGTCATTTTGAAATTTATTTTACATATTGACAATATATAATGCAGGTGCAGTGTTGATTTAAAGAAAATAATCTTGAATTACACCAAGAGAACTATAATTTTATGGGTGAAATGGCGCCATGGGGTGACGTCTCTTCCACCCCAATGCCTTCTCTTCTCCCTTCTCCTCCACCCCCATTCTAATTCCCATCTTCATCATCATCATCATCCAGGAGCCTTCTACATACACACCTCAAAGTAAGTGTACTTTTCTACCTTTTTTGTTGAATTTAGGCAATTTTCGGTGAGCTGGAACCAATTACCCAAAAACCCATTGAAACAATGGTTTCGGTTAACGGGTTTTTCGGTTAACGAGCAACCTTCTAGAACGGATTATGCTCGCTAACCGAGGGACCACTGTAATGGTAAATTAAATGTAGCCACTTTATAACATAACGAAGGTTTTATTGGCATTCCAGAATAAGGGCTTTGGGACCTGAATTATGTGTAGTATTTACCATGCAAAGTGATAAATTAAGAAATGCAATTAAAAAAATATCAAGATACAAAAATGTTCCCCTTGTACTTGGCACCAAGTATAAAGTAACTTTTATTAAAGCTGTCCTGGTGTGTTTCTGATCTGGATAGCCAGTTCAAATGGAAATGGTAACATCCACATCATCATCATCATCATTTTCCTTACTGGCTTGAGTTATGGGTTACCCTATGATTGCACTTGAATATTAGGATCCCAAAACCAATTTTTTCAAGTATTTACAAATTCTAAATTCCTCCAAGTCTCATCATATGACCTGGCTTGGATCAATCAGCTGATGATGCAGCATCTCCTGCAGAGTGAGAAAATACAGCATGTCCTCGCCTTTTTCTGGAGGCCAGCCAGTTCAGTATCACCCATTCACTCCTGCTGCCTACATAACTTTATCACTCAGAAAGCATAGTGGGATCTAATCAGGTATACTGCCCTTAAAATATCTCTAAACAAATACAAAAGTAATGGTACTGAGTGCAGTGATGCAAATAAAAAACATGAAGTACATAGTTTATAAAAGAAGAGTGGAAAATCTACAAAAACTTGATAAGGGTGAGTCCGCAAGTAAACTCTGTGACCAGTATAGTATTGGAACCACAACCTTATTCTACCAATATTCTCGTTTACTGAAATCTGGTGTAACTATGAAGATATTTTGAACATTTGAATTTACTGGATAAAATTTTTAGGTTTGAATTATAATTTTGGCTCTCCCAGAACCTGCTGTTCAACTTATACACTAACTGACATAGTAGAGTCAATGTGTCCTACCCTATTTAGAAAACATGGATTGTACTGTATTTAATTAATCAATCGGAGTACTGTCCACATAATCTGAGGGTTGGCGACCACAGTCCTCCACTTAAAACGTTTTTGGGCTGTTTTTACCAATCCCTAAGATGGTATTTACATTGTCCTGGGGTGAGATCCATATACAGTATAGAGATGCCTAGGGTGTTGTTTGCAATTATCTTCTTTTTTTTTTCCTTACAAAAGTCAATTTCTCATTTCTATTACCCAACCCATGTGGTCCTATTTCTGGTATTTCTTTCCCTTTCCCAACATTTACATTAAAATCATCCATTGTAATCAGACATTCATTAAACTTCACATGTCCTTTGCTTTCTTTAAATCTTCATAAAATTTTCTAGGACTTCATCCTCACTATCATTTGTTGGTGCATAAACATGTATTATGACCAAGTCCAGGGGTTTAGCATTAAACTTGACTCACAAAACTGTCTGACACTGTCCAATATCCCTTTACATATCTGCTAAACATCTGGTTTACAAGAATACCAACATACCTCTCATGCTTTTCACCACCTTAATATATGAAGTAAAAATCTTCGCCACTAATGATATTTAAACCAGTCCATCTCACTTCACGTAATCCCAGAATGTACCATTGCAATATTTTCATTTCCCTACAAACATTTGCATACTTACCAGCCTCATTTAATGAATGTCCTTACATTCTACTTTTCAATCTTGATTTTGTGTTTGTTTATTCTTAAACATTGAATTGCATTAGTGGAGCAAAACACTGCACACTGCATTCTGTATTTACAGTGTAAAGGTGTCTTTCCCAACTTTCTTTACCGTTTTAAAACTTCCCACATGGATTAAAGACCTAAATTTCATATGAAACAAATTTAATGGTCATAATTTCTAATTAGAAGCTGTTAATACAGTACCAGGCACCAAAGGATCTGTTGTGTTTTGAAATTTTTTTGTTTTACATTACTTTCCAGCTGAAGCATATAGCATTTAGGTCTTAAAAGTGTGTAATTGCATCTGTGTTACTTTAATCGTATTAGTTGAAATTTGCTTGTAAGTTCTGTTTTAACACGGGGATTAGTTTCAATATACTGTACAGTATATCTAACTCGCCATTATGTGTGTAACTAGTACTGTAATTACCTGAGATACATTTACATAGGTTTCCCAAAAAAATTATTTTATGTTTTAGAATTGTTTATTTTTTATATAAAATTAGTGTCTGAAAATTTTAAAGATAGTAGGTCCCATTTTTATATACTATACAACTGTAGTAGTTTTTTGTAATCATTGCACAACCTGGGATGCACAATCTGGCTATGATGACTTGGTAAAATGAATTGACCATTCAACTGATCACTGTATCAATTAGGGGTCAGGAGCTGGAATTCTGATACTCTCCAGATGCAACCTGTTCTGTGTGAATTTCTTACTTACTCCTTTAAGGCCAAGCTTTATAAAACATTTTCTTTATGTGCCGTGAATTTCATAAGAGATAACACATGGATACAGTATACATAATGCTGAAAGCCTCTTGACTTCTTGCACATGTTCCATCCCATTACATTCTGAAAGGAACAAAGGTGATTGATAATTTAATATGATATTGTTTATAAAATTTGAATCTATTTAAGATACCATAGCTCTTTACAACTATCAAAACCTTTTAACATTGTATCTGTTTTTACTTAACAATATAAAACAGTGTTATTGTACTAATTACCATTTTGTTCTACAGGCTGGGTTAGCAGCTGCTCCTGCACGAGCTGTATCAGCTGTAAAAAGTATGAATTTACCACAGCAAATAAAAGATATCAAGTTGCCTGATCTCCCAGCTGCCATCAAAGATCTGAAGTTCTGACCACAGATGTCATCTGTGTGTATTATCTTGAATGCACCAGTTAATAAAATAAGATAAATTATTTTATACTCTGTAGACAGAACTAGAAAGTAAACTTACCAAAATGTTTGCTGTTTTGTATATTTTGCCTCCAATAGAAGCCAGTTGATTTTCATATTGTTATAGTACAGGTACAGTATTTATATTTTTTTGTAACATACCATATTTAGTAAAGTGCAAAAGCTTTTTCTCAAACAAATTTATTAAATTTTTTATAGTTTCAGCTCTCAGGTATATTTTGTATTTTTCTATTTCTTAAATACAAGTCACAGCTTAGCAAGACTACTTTAAAAGACAAAACATTATTGTTCGAGTTGTTCTGGTCTGAAATATTGTTTTATCAGTTGCTAAATTACTTGCAGTTTTGGCACTACAGTATGTGATGTTTCAACAACTAATTCAGGGTGGTATCTATCTTGATAAGATAAGGCAAGGTAGTTGCTGGTCTTCAGATCACAAACTTAAATAATTTAATTGATTTACTAAACATCAGACTGCCTCATGTTTTGTAGCCTCTCCTTTTTTAACAATTTAATAAAGTACCATAGTAATGTACATGAATAATAAAATTTAACAGATTAATGGGCAATGTTATATATTCACATTCCATGGGTGTGTTAGTGTATTATTCACCTTGATATTAACAAAGATCAATGCCATCATGCTCAAGCTTGTGATTTAATTGCTTCTTGTGTAAGGAGATATTACACTACAAAAGTTTAAATTGATGAACTGTAGTTAATGTATGTACAATCCATACTCCTCAGGATACATCTAGCTTGCTAAACTTATTTTTGGATCTTGCAGCAACATGTTCAATTGTTACAGATTCGACCCCTACAGTTACCTTTTGCTATTGTTTAGGATTTAGGTACAATACTGTACTAGTTGTTATTGGGATCTAATGTTCAAACTATTACAAGTATTTTAACATGCTGTATTCTGTAAGTAACAGGTACATTACATGGCTTCTGGTGTTGCCTGCAGTTACTGTATGCTTGCATAGAATTTAAGTGGTTGTCGTAAAAAAAAAAACTGACTTGGCATCTGAATTTTTCTTTGTTATAGCACAGCAGTGTTGAGAATTACAAGTTAAAGGGTGAATTATGGTAGTCTCATGAAAGAACGGGGGGGGCAGGCAGAGCACCTAAATATTTTGCCCTTTAAGGATTAAGGGAAACAAGTTTGTAATATACTCTAGTACAGTACTGCACAGTATTTGTTTTCAGACAATTGCTGTTTTTAAAGAATACAATTTATAGACACTTCAACAGACCCTTTAAGGATTAAGGGAAACAAGTTTGTAATATACTCTAGTACAGTACTGCACAGTATTTGTTTTCAGACAATTGCTGTTTTTAAAGAATACAATTTATAGACACTTCAACAGACCATGCAATCAAATACAGGTAAACCTTGATAAACTTTGTCTCGTTCAGTGGTATAGTATTCCACTTTAATAATGGTCATGAATTAAGCCCATTTCGCTATAAAGTATACGATCAAAAAAAATCGCTTTCATGATATCCATTGGTTGGGTTTATTTATTTTTTTTATCTCTAGTGCAAACTATGGGTTGTATATACTCAAATTAATCACTGTTTTGCAAGGATTCCAACAGTGCAAATTATATTTTTTACTTCAAGTCAGTGATATTTTATAAGGAAACAATATTTAACCCTATGCACCACCATAGGTACTGCATCTCTTGCTGCACTTGTCAGGCTCCGTAATATCTACCCGTGCACCGCCACATGGCCAACCCATGCACTACAGTCCTGCGCTTGGTTCTTTGTCGATTGCATCTCCCTGTCATCGTGTAGCTCCACGATTATCTTTCAGCATCGTTGGCTGTATGTACAGTCTCGTTCAAGATTCTTTGAACACTGCTGGAGACAGCTGGCAACCCAAGGTCATTTGTTTACTATGATACGTAGTATAATATACAAGTAATACGAAACGACAAAGCCCAACCATTCAATTAAGCAACGGGAAACTAAGTAACCAATTACAATCACTTTTACATTTATTCATAATTTTTACTAGGTTTGTATAGTATACAAATGGCCTTGAGTTGCCAGCTGTCTCCAGCAGTGTTCGAAGAATCTTGAACGAGACTGTACATTGTATTTGTCATCGGTGTTTTTTTCTTATACTGTATATATATATATATATATATATATATATATTATTTTTTTTTTACTGAAGTGCTTTTGCTCTTTTTGTGAATGTGAAGTGAGCAATATAACTTTGAAAATGTTTGGGAAGGCCAAGGCATCCAAGGCAACTGTCTCTCTGAGGTGAAGCTTGACATTGTGAAATGGCATGACTCTTTCCAGAGGCTGTGTGGGAATCAGAGTGACATCTTCACTCCACCTACAAGAGTCCCCTTAGCTTCGATGGGGATATGTTATGATGACCAGACTTGTTCTTCATGATGTGGTGAGTGTTGTGTAATTGTTTTCTATTGATTTCTTAAGTGTAGGATTTTATTTTGTCGGTGATACATGTGTGTTTGGGGACTGGCTGGGAACGTATCCCATTGAACCCCATGTTATAATGATCCATATCTATGCTATTTCACTTAGCAATGGGTGTCTCAGGATCCTAACCCTATCTTTTATTGAGGTTTACCTGTACAGTAATGTAATACTGTATTAAGTGCAGGGACAACTAAGGCAAGGTAAATTGTCTAAGCTCAGAGATAGTTCATCTTAGTAAACCCTAATGACTAGAGTCTATTAATTTTCGCCCCCCAGGCCCCGATGTGGGTCAGTGATCTATGCCTGGGTGGGCTAATCCCTGTTTAAAAAAAAAAAAAAAAAAAAAATCGGTTTTCAGAGCTTTTCGGAATTTCGGATAAAGGTTGTCAACCTGTATGGTGTTGACTGTTGCAATGTAGTCCTGGTTATTAATATGTATAGTATATGATTACAGTATGCCATATGTGTTTGCTTTGCTTAACAACCCTAGTTCCTTTCTTGGAGACGGGTTGGTATTTTGAGCTAATAGGCTTGACCCAATAGCTATCATAGCCACGACCACAACTAGTGTAAACAACCCAGCTGCTGTGGTCATGTGTTTGGCTCTTCCTGCATTTGAGTTTCTACATTATATTTACAGAATCTCTTTCATTAGTCATTATTTACAAGATTTCTAGTGCATCCAAGTTACACTAATGCTAACTGAACCTGTCTATCTTACTTCACTTAATCCCAGAATGTCCCACTGCAGTCTTTTTATTTATCTACAAAAAATTTGCATACTTACCAGCCTCATATAATGTCCTTACATTCTATGTCTCAATCTTGATTTTGTGCTTGTTCATTCTTAAAGTTTCCATTTTTTTTTTACACTGGGATTAGCCCACCCAGGCACAGGTCACTGACCCACATCGGGGCCTGGGGGGCGAAAATGTAATACAGGTTGACAATCCTTTATCCGAAATCCTTGGGGCCAGAGGCATTTCGGTTTTCGGAATTTTTCGGTTTTCAGAATGGTTAGGTTTTTTTTTTTTTTTTAATGTGTATTATTAGCCCACCCAGGCATAGATCACTGACCCACATTGGGGCCTGGGGATCGAAAATATAATGCAAATAATAATAATAATAATAATTCATAGGTCTAGGTTGTGTTTCTCACTTTTGATCTTTTTTCATTCTTGTATTTCTTTACTGTATTATTATTATTTTATTATTACAGTATTATTATTATTAATTTTATTATTATATTTTATTATTATTATTGTAATCATTATTATTTTATTTTGGTGTATTTTTATTAAAATTTTTATTTACTATGAATAATTATTATTATAATTATTATTATTACTATTTCATTTTCGCCCCCCAGGCCTCGATGTGGGTCAGTGATCTATGCCTGGGTGGGCTAATAATCCCTGAAAAAAAAAATAAAAAAAAAAAACAATGACCCACAAAAAAACTTTAGGTTTTTAGAGCTTTTCGCTTTTTGGAATTTCGGGTAAAGGGTTGTCAACCTATAATAATAATAATAATAATTATTATTCATAGTAAATGAAATTTATAATAAAATAAAAAACAAATTTGAAAATAAAATAACAATAATAAAGAACCATAAAGAAAACAAAAATTAAAAGGAAAAAAAAATCAAGTGAGAAACTATACTGTATGTCCAGTATGTTGTGTTGTCAATAGTAAGAGAAACAATTGAGACCCTGCAACTGTGTGTGATTGAGGCAGAGCCAGATGAGCAACCTGGGACTTGGTCAAAATTTTCGTTATGCCACATGGCAGCAGGGTCTACCATTAGACAACACATTATGCTTCCAATATCTTCCCAGGCGGTTGCACCTCCCTGTTTGATAGCTGTCTACTACCTACTACCTTTGTTGATACTTCTGCAGTAAAATCGCCAAGTAAGTTCATAATTGAATTTGAATGTACTTGTATATTGGACCCAACAGGAGTAAATTCCTGAGAACTACAAATCAGGTCGTGTGCATATTTGAATCTTAAGTATAGGTGAGTAAAACATTCTGAGGTGAACTGTTGGTAAATAGCCAGTCAAGAACAACTCCGAGGTAACCAGCTACTTACGTAATGATTAAGATTCGTTAAAGGTCGACCACGAAACTTTTTATTTATATACGGAAATAGAGCAAAACTAAAAACTTACTTTTCAGTCGCAAAATTTAAATTTTCGAATATTTTGGACTTCGATTTCACACAGGAACTTACATTTTGGCAGGAGACACTGTTTACATCTGACTCAAGCAAGTCTGTTCCATCAGTCACCGTGAGTCTCGATGTACGTGGCTATATACCGCCAATTAGCATGGGTCTCGGTGTCACGTGATACTTCTACACATCCTCCAAACTTTGAATTTTAGTTGGCTAAAGTTGGCAAGTCGTAAGATTGCTTCTCTCTGCAAGGCTGTTCTTTCTCGGCTTGGCAAATAATTCACCGTGTATTTGAAAACGAAGCCACTACCATTGGCATATTTAAAGCTCATTGTATTTTACCACCCCCTGTGAAGTGCTGCAGGCGTTTATACGCAGAATATAGAACGATTATGTTAAGGATATCAAGAGTTTGGTGCTTCGTGCCGGCAATAAGGAGCATTATCGACAATAATTTGCTCTGTACGTGTTCCAAGCCGAATTCAACGATCACAAGACTATACTCCACTACTTCCTCCTATAAGTAGCATCACTTTATCCTGTAGCATCAGTTAATTAAGGTAAGTCTTTTACACAATGGAGGTTAGGCCAGGTCCTGGTTTCTCGGGTTAGGAGGTTTTCCTTAGGTTTCGTTTCGTAATTTTTGTTTTTGTTTTTACTCTACAATTAACATCTATTTCAAAGCTCTGCTCACTGTTGGTTAATTGTGTGTGGAGGGGGGGGGGGTCATATCTCCATAACGGCTCAATTGCGACAGGAATCAAGGTCAGATCCGCTTGAAACACCACAAAATACACTAGAAAATTTATTCTTTTAGTAGTTTCCGTGGTCGACCTTTTCTGAATATTGACCCCCCACCCCCCAAAAAAAAAGCTGGGACAATTGCAACTTTTGTTTTATCTTATTTTATTTTATTATATTTTATTTTATTGTATTAAGAGTAAAATACCCTCCACGCACGAACGCTTGTTTACGAAAGAAGTCGGTTTGGCTTGTTAGGGGCCTGTTGAAAACTATTACCTAAAGAATAAAGCAAATCGGGCTGAATAATATTATTGTTCGTATTCAGTGTTTTTCATCGTTATTTCCAACTTTATAGTAAATAAAGCTGTCACCCGCCCCGCCTACACGAGGACGCCATATTTGCGTGAGTAGTCCAAGCGATTCATAGACATTAATAACGCTATTCCGTTTTATAATTAGAAACAAGAGCAGCAACAGCAACTTTATAAATTTTGTGTATAGATGATAATAAATTAATCTTTCTTAAGAAGAATATCACCAAAAATGAATTTGCATGATCGTAAATATACAAAGATGGTTCATCTCCCATAACTCTCTTCATAAGTGAAGTGCACCTCTTTGAAGTATGCTGTACTATAGTGTTATCGTGCTTGGCCCCTGACTAACGTTAGATACTGCCTATTAATTGAGGACATCCAAAAGGGGACCACGAAACTGGTGCCTGCATTCCAGCCATTTACGTATCAAGAGATTAGAATTTAGAAAACCTTTAGTTGCCTAGCTTATACTAGGGTTGCCATACGTCCGTATTTTCCCGGACATGTCCTCCATTTAAGTCTCGAAATCTTCATCCGGAAGTAATTTTTTAAATTCTTCAAAAGTCCGGAATTTCAGCTTCCATCATTTTCTCCACGGAAAAAAAATCATGAAACTGTAATGACGAGAGAGAGAGACAGAGAGAGGGGAGATAGAAACCGTAGAGATCTCGTTCAGTTTTCGTCAGCTGATAAGTCACGTGTACGCCTGTACGGTGTTGTCAACTTAGCTGTCAAATATTTGATTGATAAGGGGGTAGAAGTTGATTATGTGAAGTTTTTTGACCAAGTTATTAACCTGAAGCAGTTTGTGGAAAATTATAAGTGATGAAGAATTTAGTAATCTGCCAACACATAAAAAGTGGACCGGATACTTTGAAAAATCAAAGAACTTTGAATGCCACTCAGAATTGCTAAGAATTGCACAATTCTTCTTTGCCCTATCATCTCACATTGCAAATGTAGAAAGAGTTTTTTCACTGATGCAAAGTCAATGGATAAAGGAAAGGAACAAATTGAGTGTTGAAACAATGAAAGGCATTCTGACTGTACAGTACAACTTCCGAGAAACATCTTGCAGTGACTTCTATACCTTTCTAAAGAGCAATCAGCCAATACTGAAAAAGATCCGATCTACAGAAAAGTATGCATGGGCACATCAAGTCACACACCCAGTGGGGGAAGAAGACTACAGCTAAAGAAGATATTCAGCCTTAAGCAAAGGTAATTTTTTTTTTTTTTTAAGATTTCTATACCATGTATGTTGTATATTAACCTACATTAAAAACACAATGCAATACAGTACATCGATACTGGTGTGTATATATATATATATATATATATATATATATATATATATATATATATATATATATATATATTTATATATATACAAATATGCAAAATAATTGTCACGGCTGCTTCAAGGTTACATAGCGCCAAAGTGTTAGGGGGGTGTCTTCAGGAACGTCCTCTTTTTTTAATGTTCAGATATAGCAACCCTAGCTTATACTATAAACGGACAAGGAATGATCTGGTATAAGCTTATTAGTACCCCAGAGGACGTTAATCAATCGAAATTGCTGTTCACAATATCCACGTATACCTCTACAAGGAATATACAGTATACTGCTTTTACGTGTGGAGTGGCATAGGGTATTATTTTAATTTTAACACATACAAACCTAAGGTGTTCGCCCAATTAAAGAACAGCCCCCACTTCCTTTTTAGTCCCACTTCTTGCCAGGTTATACTTCTCCTTATTTCTTTTCTGTTGCTATTTTCATGGTCTTTGCACCAGTGAGTCAGTGACAGCCCATTTGCCCTCCCTTCTCCAGCTTTCATTCCCAGTCGCAACACAATTCATTATTTATCAGCCCACCCTTACCGCTTATAAGTTTAATTTAGTTAGACTCACTAATTCCTTCATTCAACTCACTTTTTCATGGAATTTCTTTCCCTCTAACGTCTTTACACCAACATGCATTATCAATCAATCAACGAAGTTGTCGACCACGCTCTAACATTTGAGAATTTAGGTGTTTTCGGACTGTCTTCACCCATCCATCTCAATATTTGCCTCCCTTCCCCTGGCCTTCTTATTTGAGTTTTATCTATTAATACCTCTGCCATTATCTCTAAATCTATAATTATTATATGGCGTCATTATCTCATTTTTCTCAACCATATGTTTTTCTTATCAGTAAAACATTTTTAACCCGTAGAACCACATTTTGGGAGTCTTGAAACGTAGGGCACTTACTTATCTCGTACTAGTTCCTTGGAATTGGTCAAATGATCTTACAATTAAACATTTAAAAAGGCCTTTATTGGTTTATAAAGATGAGACACACAAATTTCTGTACTTTACAGCATCATATAGAAAATAATCTTAATGCTATAATGTATAAGCTTACACTACAATAATGATACACAATGAGGTAACTCCTGAGACATCATTTACAAGGGTGCAGGGAAAGTCTACACACATTATTATTATTTTTTTTTTATTATGTTAGGTCACAGTGGATCATAAAGGGTTATACTCTGGATATTGTGTTTTATGTTAATAAGTTCGTAACCGCAGGAGATAGCTTTAGATGGTTTTATTTTTGTTTTATATTGGAGGGGAAATCGTGTTGAAAATTCCGAATACTTTATAAGCAGTTAGCAGAAATGGTTGCTGGGTATTTTGACCAGATTAAATATTGAGTGTCCATCATTAGAGTAAGAAGAAAAAATGAGCTTTAAGATACAATTACATAAATTTTACAGTGAAAAATAATCTTTGCAGTTGACTTTCCCAGCACTCCTACAGGCTCAAGGAGGAACATCAGCCATAGGCGACTACGACAGTACCAGAATATGGAGACTTAAGTTATACCTAAATAAATGGCCATATCTAAATACTACCAGTGGCGCTCAGTGGCTGATCTTTACATAATAACAAATGATGCATTACAAACTGGCATGTTCCAACGCTTATTGAAAAAAAGACATGTATATGACAACTCGGTTTACAAATAAACAATGCTCCGTTTCAGGAATGGGTCCTTCAAGTCATCAAGAAGAGTGACACAACTGGGAAACCATTCCCACTAGTGAGTTTTGAGCAAAGTCCTGATTTTGTCCACCACCACCCAGGGAGAGTGGCCAGCAGGTGACAGGTTATTTTAAACTAGTGGTAGAGGGAGACAAGTGTGGGGAAACTATTGAAGCAAGAAAAAATATTGGAATATCCTAAATATCCTGGAAAACCAGAAAGGAAATGCGAAATAACCTAACACTAAAATTCTGTGATTTGATTTGGTATGCTGATTTTTTATACAACTAAAACATCATGACATTACGATGCTTACGAAGAAGAAATACAGTAGCAATAGATGTTTAAGTGTGAAACTCTCGTTCACTTGGCGTGTTCAATACACTTGTGAAAGATCAAATTTATGCTCATAAATATATGCCACATAAATATTGTTCGTAACCATTTTGGGGTATTTTAGATTTTAATATTTATTAGTTGCATGAGAAACTTACAGTGCAGCATCTGAAGTTTGTTTCAGGCTCTATAACGTAATCACTGGCCCATAATATTTTTAATGTCAGTGCTTGGCCAAATTTGTAAATATACCAAAATTGGTAGTGCTTATTTTTTTTAATTACAACAAATTTAAACATATATTTATTTACATAATGGAAGTTATTCAATAGAAAGTGAAGCGTAAGAGAGAACAAGATATGTGAGTGAAGAGGAAGAAGAATGTGGAACAAAAGAGACGTACAAAGTTGAGCTAATACTGTGACGGCGTCACTTTGCAAGGATCTTAAGAAAAAATGCTAATGAAGAGTGCAAGTTTCCACTAGCGTCGCTGACAACAAAATTATAAGTAAGACTGAGAATGAACCTCTGGACCAGCCAGTGGTTCTTATATATACCACCTGGGAGCCGCACTGACCACCTACACACTCCAAATTTTTTACTTCCTGTTGACTGAAAGAACCCTTAGAGAACGATAGTAAACTTACATTATTGAAATTTAGAAGGTTTAGCTTGTATGTTCTAAAAAAAGGACACAATAAACTGAAATGTTATAGAGTAAAAAAATCTTGTTTGAAATATTCTCGTACATAAACAAGTGGCGTTGCTACATACAGAACACTGAGTGCTAAACTTGCACACTTGGCGCCAGTGGTTCCTTCCTTAGTCTTTACTTTGCATATTTTGGTGTCATTCTAAGAAGTGGAAATATTTATATTTATCTAGCAATATATTAAAAATCTCCTATAAATAAGTGAAAACAGCAAAAATATTTTCATGTCATAAATTTGAAAGCAATTAGTAGAACATAAAATGTCTTGGAAAGTTTCAGTTAATTCAAATTATGTTAAATCTTGACTAGCAAGATGAAACTTTAGCACACAACAATATATTCATGATACAGTATCAACAAACCTATTCTACTACAAACAGTATTTATAAAACACCAAGGAAGGCAAATGTCACTAATGCTTACAGAGAAAATAACAATCCAAATACGTAAAAAAAAAAACTTAATTCAAAGGCTTTGTAACAAGGATGCAAAACACGTTCATCTTTTGTACAGGAGAGAGTTTGTGGCACTACCTCACTACAAGCAAGTGACAACCCTGGCGGATCAGTACCATCTCGGCAAACGTGTCCAAGGAAAAGCAGCCAAGAAGTAGAGAGCAATTTGGAATATCACAACCATGAAGTATGGAGTGCGGGTTGCCTCTGGACCCACATAAGGGGAAATCAAGGCTTACAATCTATGGCATGCATTAAGGTAGAGATTTTGGCTCGGCTAAGACGAGGCAGATGAGCTTGACCATGTGGACCGTTTGATACAGCTCAGTTTACGATGCATATGATGATGTCTCGTGAGATATATCATGGGGCACAACAGGGCCAGAGCCGTGGTGGACAGGAACAGCTGGGACACTGTATGACGTTGGGGGAGGAGCACCATAGGAAGTTGGGGGAGGGCCATATGAAGGTTGAGGAGGAACATAGGGCTGGGGTTGGACGACGATGGGCTGAGGGGCTGGTGCATGGAAACCGCTCCCACCTTTGCCTTTACCAATACTACTGCCAAGACCACCTCCACCTTTCCCCTTTCCACCTCTAAAACCTCCCTTGCCACCTCCTATACCTCCTCCAAATCCTCCCTTGCCACCTCCTATACCTCCCCCAAATCCTCCCTTGCCACCTCCTATACCTCCTCCAAATCCTCCCTTGCCGCCTCCTCCAAATCCTCCCTTGCCACCTCCTCCAAATCCTCCCTTGCCACCAAAACTTCCCTTTCCCTTGCCTGACACGACAGGTGCTGGGGCGTGGTAAGTGGGTGCTGGGGCGTGGTAGGTGGGTGCAGGAGCGCCGTAGGAAGGAGCGTAGTGTACAGGCGTCTCGTAGTATATGTACTCTGGTTCCTCGTCGTAGCTGTCGTAGCTGACTGTGGGATAAAGGAAGCAAATTATGATATATAAAGAACCTCACAGCATCATCATTACAATTAGTATATCCACGTCATACAACAAAACACTCTATAATGCTTAGAAACTTACAGAAGTCCTTAATTTTTTTGGAAGTCTCCTCCTCCCATTTATAGAATTGTTCCTTTGCCTTGTCCCAACCCTTCGCCAGCTTCCCGCCAAAGGATTCTTCCTCTTCATAATCGTCGTAAGCTACTGGGATGGGGACAGCCTGGTATGTAGTATGGTACTCAGTGTGGCCGTAAGTTTGGGCAGGAGCTCCGTAAGACTGAGATGGGGCGCCATAAGAAGGAGATGGAGCACCATAGGACGTGGCAGGCGGAGAGTAAGCCGCAACTGGTGCAGCGTACGAGTATGTGGGCTCACCGTAAGAGTCGTCCACGTTGTAGTCAATGTAGTCACTCACTGCAATAAAGAAAACAGTATTTAAAACAAAAGTCACAACAAATTATCATCCTAGTGGTGGTATGCCTTTTGTTACAGTAAGACGTTCATAATTATCTACAGGAACACGCCAGGACCTGTAAGGCTCAGGAGTATGTCAAACGGTCTTGGATCTAAACTCCTGAGGACACCACAGCGAGTGCCTGACTGCGCTGAAATATCGTGTTACTCTAAGAAACTAATGATTGTATTTGAATAAAGTTGTCTTCAGGGTTAAATAAATTTTTGTTTTTATTTCTTATTATTATTAATTCGTGTGTTTGCAATGTGGAGTGTGTTTTTGGTAACCAAGATCGAATTCTCCTCTTATGGATTTATGAGTTTAATCAAGGCATCAGGTAAAGTACCTGTGACGATAACAAACACATTTTGCTCAATACGTCTTATCCTTTAACTGTGTGAATATGTCTCAACAATAGTCTGAATTAAAGCCAACATGGGGCAGACCTTGAAGTTTTGTTCCAACAGAATGACCCCACGTAACAAGTATTTTTTATTGTTGAGACGCCATCATCACTTGTCACTTAAGAATTAGCCATTGTGAGTCATCTTGAATTAAAAATGACCTTTATTTGAGGTAAATTTACAGCTTAGTAGACACTAAAATCTACTTAGACTGAATAGTTTAGCAGTTTTATACTAGATATTGTGAAAAAAATCCCCTAAACTTATTTTGTTGTTGATTTTCTGGATTGTATCTACAAGTACTGGTATTAATTTGAATTTAGATTAAAAATGGCTGACACATCGGAACTGCCCATAAAAATCTTGCCAAAGGATAGTGCAAATATTTCTTGATTTATAGCTCGGCATCAGCTAATAATAATTTTTTTAACCTGAAATTATTTCGTCTTTTTCAGATGTACAACCAAGACTGGATACAGTGATATAGTGTACTTACATGGTTCACCCATAATGTTCACAGGATTACAAGATGCAAGTATTCTTAATAGAACTTCTTTGTTGGTAAGTGACTATCATTTCAGTAAGATACAATAATTATTATTTCATGGAATTCGCTGTTCTTTTCGTTTGTCCTAAGTAATGTGATGACAAGAATGTCCTACAATGATACGAGTCGCTACTTTGAACTTATTGACGGAGGCCTTGGACTGTAAGCTTTATTGAACTAATATTTAGAGTATAATATTAATAAGCAAGTCTGCTCAATAACTTTGGAACCTTTCTGGGATACATCAACACCCTATGGAACCAGTGTAGCTCATTTTTGGCTGTACTGTACATGTAAAGATAGTGAGTTCACCTCCTCCAGGTATCATACAGCAAACGAGTAATAGCTTTAGAAGTGATATGTTACTTTGTCAGCACATTAAAAAGGAATTCTGTGTGCCATGATATACGATGATAATAAAGTCATCAAAAGGAAAAAAAAAATACCGTCTTTTAAAAGCAAAGTTCTCCTAACAATAAATGCATCTTTTGGGTGTGGTTTTGAAGGAGCCACGTGAAACATTACTGTGTCATTGTCTCGCCTCTTAGTTTTACAATCCACAACAAGAGAACCATGACCTCCCCGGAGCACGAGGTGACATTAAGGCAAACACTGTGGAACGTGAACCAGCTGGGAACACTGACATTTTTCACGTGAGTTCTCTTCAACCACCTTCTGTATTATACCTATGCATAACAAAGATAAATGCAACAAAAGAGCATATTTAATTATTCACATGTTAAAAGGAGCATGAAGTGAATACTGTACTAAGTAGTTAGAGAATGATAAATTGTGATAAAAGGTTAGGGAAGATAGAGGAGGCTATCCCATGACTTGTTCACTAGGGTTGTTTATCAAAGTTTAAACTAATGTTGTTTGCGTTGTTTTCTTTGTATAAAACAGAAAATAATGAGATTGAGATTTTTGTTAGTTATCACTCGGCATTACCAGATTTTTCCCAGATACAAGTAAAACAAAACTCTGATACATGTTTCACTTCTTGTAATAAATACTCCACACCAGAAAGTGAATGTAAAGGTAAAGGGTAATATTCACAGTATTGTTTATAATATTTTGTGCTCTTACTTTGTGTGTCGTGGGCATGAGTTCTGACGTCAGAATCAGATTGCATATATAATTTTATATATGACAGAGCGGAATGTGTCACTTTATTTATATAAGTACATAAGTAAGGGTTACACGCCGACATGATTATTTGCAGTTTGATTTTGGAAATGCAGAATAATACCGTATAATACAACCTTCCAGAACTGGTTGATTTCATCCAATATTGAACGCTCGCTTCCCGTTGCGTTACCGGTTGTATAAACAGTAGCTTCACTCCCGCGTTGCTGTTGCCACTGTTGTTAATATCGAGATTCATTCCAGGGTGGTTCTGTTGCCACTTTTTAATATAAACTTGAAACCGTGTGGCCACAGCGCACTCATATGAGGTCGTAACATTTAATTTAAAATTTTATTGTTAATTTACTAATGGTTTTGTTAAATAATCTAATACATTTCAATATAATTCTTGATATATTGTTCTCCAATTACATATTTTCCTCATTTGTCAACATGTATTTATTTTTAATATTCATGGTTGCAGAGGAGGTTTAGGAGAGAATACAACAATGATAGATGGGAAGGGCAAAAACATGGCAGTTTTGAAAAGACAATGAGTAGGGTAGAAAGACAGGATTCCCGAACAAGCTGAAATTTTCATGGTGGTAATGAGGAACGAAAGTAGTCTAGGCCTGGGAGGGAGATGATATAGTACAGGAAACGTATATACAAAAGTCTTTACAATGGAAATTTTATTCACAAATATATATTAACCTTATTAATAGATACAGTGTTTGAGATTCGTATTAGGAATATCAAATATATATTAGAACTTAAAGAATGACAGATATGATGATAAAGTTAGGTTGTGAATAATAGCATGAGTGAATGGCGAGGTAGAGAAGTTCATTGTACGTTAGTCTTCGCTGGCCGCTCGTACTTGTCATTGTATTGTAGTGGGATAACCTTCCTTTATCATATCTGGTTCTTCCCTGGATTTAAAGTTTTGTCAAGATTTTTGTGAACTAATCATCCAGCGATGCACACTGAGCGCCGCACCGTGCTAGGCTGCGGCACTCACAAATGCAGTTGATTGATTGACCAGCAAGATAAACAGAGCACGGGATTTACGTCCTGGAGACTGTTTCTGATTTTTTTTTATGAATTTGTCAGGAGGTAACTATGTAGTACAGAGTTAAATACTCCTTAGTGACACGGTGGGTGGGCAACACATCACAAGTACGAGCGTTCAGTAGTTTGAGCATAATGTTCACAACTTCGAGGTACTCAGAGATGAGCAGACACGAGCTGAAGAACTTCTCTAGTTGAGATTTCTGTTGGACGGCTCGCGGTAGGGGAGACTAGTGGTATGTTACAGGCTGGGGGCCGTAGGATGTAGGTGGGGGACCGTAGGATGTAGGTGGGGGGCCGTAGGATGTAGGTGGGGGGCCGTAGGATGGAGGTGGGGGGCCGTAGGATGGAGGTGGGGGACCATAGGATTTAGGTGGGGGGCCGTAGGACTCAGGCTGGTGGTGGTAGGCTGGGTAGAGTGGAACATGCTGATCCCTAAAACCACCACCCTTTTTGTAGTCTTTCTTGAATCCTATGGTGACTGTTTATGGGGAAGAAATAATATGTGAGTAAAGAGCAAAGATTTCACGTACAGTTTAAGTGTTGAAAATGTAACAGCTACTGAGTTGTTGTAGATAAGTTAAGAATAATCAGACAAAAAATAGTCACTTACTGAACTTGGTTAACTTCTTCCCAGCATCCTTGAACATCTGATCGATTCCCTTGAAGGGGTTGCCCTTGCCCTTGCCCTTGCTCTTGCCCTTATCGCCTCCTGATTGCCTGATAGGTCTGGGAATGCTTACATAGTGCGTCTGGTAACCTGTTTGGTGGTAGGTTTGGGGAGGAGGGTAAACGGGCGGAGGGTAGCCACCTCCTCCGCCATGGTGAGAAATCCCAATGTCATGGCTCGGGCCACCGTAGGCAGGCACGGGGGCCGAATTCTGGCCGAAGGAGTCGTAGCCACCCTGGCCGGTGAAATGATGCAGCTGGGGTCCCGTAGGCGGCTTGTCGGCTAAGGCCAGCACCCCGACCGTCGCCAAAACCACGCTGAGCTGTAACACACAAAACCACCATCTTAGTCGGGTACACAGATAACATTCAGTGATTGTAAAATGATTGATGGTCATTGGAGGAAGGGGAAGACCAATCCTGATGATAAAAGGGAGTCAGTAATGGTCATGTCATGGCATACATTAAAATAAAGTACACTTTCTCTCCAGGCCCAAGATTCACGTCATATAACAAATGTATTTTTGTTTGTTAAATTTGTAAAACGAATAAAATTTTCGTTTCTGGTCCACCAAGGGAGGTCGCTGTTAATAGCGCGGGTGAAAGGGGTACTAGTCTCTAATGTTCATCTCTAGAAATCGAGGTCGGCTAGATAGTGCGGGTGTGAACTGAATGTGAATCGACAGCATGAGGCAAGTGATGACACTGTGTCCCGTTCTTAATGACGTGATGTGCAAGCGGAAGATTCATGTTACACTGAGAGTTTTTAGGAGGCTGACTGGAAAGTTAAACAACAAAAATACTCGTAGGGAAGCTTACTAATCAAGGTTGAGAAAACAATGGCTTATGTGTTGGAGCGAGGAGTTGTTGCCTGGAAGGAAGTCATTAGAATAAAAACTTGTGGTTGACGCTAACGTTGGTCTTATGTACATACTTGTAAAGACTGCTTCTAGACCAGTGGGGAGACCAGGGGGTGTTTTTCTTAGAAGTGAGGAGGGCGGAGATGACTTTCCCACTTACAGTTCGGGGAGAGTTGAGGGGGGGGGTGCACTCTTACGGGTAAGATAGAAGTTTTCGCAAACGTCTTGATGCGTGTGAACAGAATTGAACATGTAAACACATGGCGGTGGCACTGTTGTGTACTTCTTCCCCGGCAACGCCCACTACACCAGGACACCCAAAAGATGCTCGAGGGCGTCTGTCGGGACTCTGCTACAGGAATCTCCCTCATCTCTTTGGTCGTAAATTGCAGGAGATTTACAACACAGCTGACATAATGCGGTGTGTAGCAGAAGTGACTTGAGACGGAGAGCACCAGGACACATGACTGAGGTATTATCAACAACTTACGGTGATGATAAAGTTTACATTTTAAATAAAGGAAGAATATCTTCATACAGTAACAGAAGAATAACACCATAAATCAGTGCGATAAATACTGTCGGGACAACACCAACTGGTGCCGTATAACAGAAGATACTCAGAGCAGGAGACTCACACATGTACACCACATGATCCTTGTGTCGCTGCTGCTACGTCAGTGACTCAAACGGGGAATTGTAGCGGCTGATATACCCGTGGTCAAGGCCTCCGCCGCTCTCTAACCCGGAAGGAAGGAAGGACAAGGTCAGCATAAAACGTACATCGCAGACAGTGGGACAACAGACCAGGACAGACCCTTGAGGGCAGGCGGGTCGCCCTTACCAGGAAGTGGTTGTGGCCAAATGCTGTCTGCAAGCAACTGATGGGGGGGGGGGGACCCTTATGGTACTATGGTGGTCCAGTAGTACTGTCTGGTGCTATGGTGGTCCACTAGTACTGCCAGGCACTATGGTGGTCCACTAGTACTGTCAGGTACTATGGTGGTCCAGTAGTACTGGTCCACTAGTACTGTCAGGTACTATGGTGGTCCACTAGTACTGTCAGGTACTATGGTGGTCCAGTAGTACTGTCTGGTGCTATGGTGGTCCACTAGTACTGTTTGGTACTATAGTGGTCCACTAGTACTGTCAGGTACTATGGTGGTCCACTAGAGGGAATGAATAAGTCTTACGATACCTGGTGTCCGCGGTCAAGCGAAAAACACTTTCTTCTTTCCAGCTATAACAGACTGGAATAAATTTGATAAAAAAACCCTCACTATTACTCTGTAAACATACTATCACTGATTAGAGACCAAGTGTTAACCTAAGCATAGGACCCTCCTGGAGATAAGCACATGACAGCTTTGTTGGCTAACCTTGGTCAAATGTCTGGTACTGTGATAATTCTTAATTAGCGTTACCCTAGGTTTCATCATCCGGCATAATATAAGGTCGAGTAGTATCCCTGAGTGTGTTTTGGACTGGTTCACCTCGGCAGTATACGAGATGAGATGATGACATACATGAACCACGAGGCGTTATACTGATCCCTTCGTGATTTCCTACGTTTCTATGTTCGGTTAGACTGCATTATTTTTGTTGTTGTTCGTTGACATTAAATATTAAACGTGAACACTGTTTCAGGATTCTGATATATCGCATACCGTACAGTGTCCTGATGTACTGTACAGGTGTTATTTTAGGTATATTCGTCTGTAACTGTGTATTTTATCAACACACAGATAGAGTGTAAGGCTGCTAGCATCTCTGAATATTTTATTTCCCGTCACTACAATATTACACATCGATGGCCTGAACGTTAGGTCGGGATTGTTCTCAGTTAATACACTTGGTGTCTTTATTTTGTACTGTTGCGTTTAGTTGGCGCCATGATCTCATCCGACTCACTCAGATGAGTAAATGAAGTATTGGGATGGATTTTAGCAGTCGTAGTAAATAGTTACATGCTGAAAACTGTAAACACGACACACCACTTTCCACCTTTATATGTGTATGCAGCTACACACACACACACACACGCACACACACACACACGCACACACACACACACACACGCACACACACACACACACACACACACACACACACTCGCACACTTATCTCAGCGGGTACTTTCATGTAACCTTTCCACCTCCTCTACGCTTTCTGCACTCACTGACTTTTATAGGTTATCTTGGCCACTCTCTCCTCCACTCCTTTCTCTCTCTTTTGTCCTGGCCTCTCACCCCTCACCCGACACGTATCACCCCTCATCCACCACACTGCCACGCCAACCACCTCACTCGAACACCCTATGGTATTCTTGATCCACTCACACTGACACATGAACCACGCCACTACACCATTTATACCACCTACAACACCCACACCACCAAAACCACACTAACTCACAACACCACTTAAACTGCTCATACCTATAAACCAAAGGCTAACTTACGCCCCATGAGTCCCAGTCAAACTTATGTACAACAGAAACTAATTTAACCATCTCCCGAAAGCTTAGACCCGCTTGCCTTCATCTCATCCACGAGAGAGAGAGAGAGAGAAAGAGAGAGAGAGATCATATTCTTTCACCCAGTTTTTCCTTCAACAGTCATGTATGGGCAGAATCTCATTACCAACCAGATTATGAACATATTCGTCGTAAGTTAATATCACCAGGAAGATGAAATGTGATGCCAGTTTTGAAAGGTGATCCACCGACTAGGCCACACCACTCATAGTTGGCACCCAGCCATCGGGGAAGTTATAAATAGTACAGAGAAGCCAGCACTGGTTAGGTGGATCTGGTGATGGTGCAAGGGGGGGAGGGGGGGCACTCATCCATATCTGGAGGTGGTATCCTTTCCCTCACATTCACTCTGTCAGTCTAATCTGGATGAAGACTTGCAGTACCCGATGTAATATTTTCTTTTGTAATAATTCTTTTCCGATAATGTTGTATATAAACTAGATGACTACTGTATATTCTCTCCCAATTAGTTGCCCTTCCCAGCTTTCTCTAACAGCCTCGAGGGTCGCTGTAATGAGCACGTGACCCTGTCGACTGGCCTTGGGTATCTGAGATGACGGCTGGTCCATCAGCTGTCACAGGTCAAATTCCTTATGCTATTTGGAGCACACTGAGTCACAAGAACGACTCGAGAAACACCATCGAGAGAGCCAGTCATAAAACCCAGTCAAGTAAAATGTCATAGATCTAACTAAAGGCGTTGATTAAAAGACAGTGAGAAGACTTAGTTAAAGAATATTAAAATATACCCTAGCGGCCCCAGACGCTTCAAGACTGGTAACACAGACAGTGAGGCCCGCAACACCACCTCCTGGTCGCCAGAGGTATTCTTCATAGACCCAAAACCTGCTGACAAGAGTGAAAGTTCTCGAAGCCGTTGTAATACGTGTACATGTTAACTACACCAACACCGCACACAGCAGGAGGGAGTAAAAACAACGACGATTTTTGTATCGGCCAGTAAAAATAATATTAAGCGCCTCATCGTTATCTACTAAACTATGGTAGATGGTAATTAACGCCGTGAAGTTAAATGATGACATTGGTGGACAAAAACACAATAGCCACCATTATTAACGACCTAAGATTAGTGATTCTTCTTTCTCAACATTTTAATAAGGATTTATCAATAACTGACCATACGAACGAACACATTGTAAGTGTATCATCGAACCTTTAGTCTTAGAAGTAGGGGAAAACAAATCTCTTGCGGATAACTTCCTGAAACCCACAGTTCACTAGTATTGTACAACATACGAAACTGCAGCCCCAAGCTTCATACCAACTATGTAGGAAAGTAACTGCAATTCAAAAGTATTTACACCAACATGTATAACAAATTAGCTGATAGAAAAAGACTTGGCATCAACCATCATACGAAGATATTCACAATACCAGACCGTCCACAACCTTCATAACTACGACCTAGGAGAAGCAGCTACCAGACCCCGGCAGGTGAGAGGCTTGGTCAGCTGCGTGATAGAAATGGCAGGCGTGAGAGCAGCGAGCCCGGACAAATGGGCAAAAACTTGTAGAGTAACTTTCGCGCCGAGTTCCGTTCCTTCTGCACGTAGTCGGTCACCTGTGGGCGTATCGCCGTTGCATTTTTGTATCACCATGAACGGAACTGTAGATTGTTATTAACACGAACATAATACCAACTGTTCTTTTTGTTCACTGGTTATTTACACTCAGGAAAATAAAGATCTTACGCACGAGTAATAAGCGGTAAACGTAACCATCCAGAAATCGAGGAGGGAAGGAGTGTTTCAGTAAAATAGGCTCAGAGTACACAGGAGTCTAAGCGACCATAGGCTAGACTAGATAGACGACGCGTCAATAAGAGTATACTCATCCCCCTCCCACTCCCCCCACAAAGTCGTCAACACTTACCCAAACAACTGACTTGTATTTGCGACAAGTGATG